TAATCATTTCTTTATTTCGAATACCTATAGAATATGTATCGATTTACTGAGAAGACTGTCCATGTCTGAAAAAAACTCACTTTAATTGACCAAAAACTATCCTTCACCACGGGTCGGGTGGGGTCACAAAAAAGTGACCCGCGTCGGACACTGATATCTATATATAAAATTTTAACATACACTTGTTTTATATATACTAAACTAAAATCTGCTTAATATTGTAAGCTGTAAGTATGTCGTGCATCTAGATTCTGTTAAGGAAAGCCTGCTAGCACAGCCCCTTTGGGACTGAATTGTGGAACTCACATCAGTTCTTTAGCCACATTAAACTAATACAAAATATACAAAGTAACAAATCTCTCGTAGACTATAATTGCTTAGCAAGAGTGAGTGTGGATATGGATATGAGGTGTGGGCATTCATTTCGTCCATACCCACATCCTATAGTTTAATATTTTTCGGTTTGTCAGGTCATGAGGAACATATATAACAAGTGGGAGAGCTATACTAAACTGCATCCACTTTTTTTAAAGATTTTCTGATTGTTTCTTCATCAGCTTTTTCTTGTTATCTACCAAGTTAATACCAATCTTTTCATTAGGAAAGCAGAAGATGCGTTGCATTCTCGTATCTATTAGATATTTAAGACTTTTATTGAATTTGTTTTTGGTATTAACATATTGTTCTATTACGCCAATACACTTTTCAGTCAATTCCATTTGACCTTTCTGCTCAGCAAGTGATAGATAAGTGATTGGTAAAGATTTGCTTGAATGTTTATATGCTTGTTGAGCATAATCTAAAGCTCGATCATACTAATTTTTATCAGAATATAAATGTGCTATTATAGAACACACGTATCCCGCAGCCGGCCAGTTTGCCGTTGTCGGTAATAAAACATGCGCCATTACTTCAAAATTACTATTGTTCGCTGTTGATTTTCTTATGATATCAATTACTTTTTGATAGTTATTGTCGATATCATGACGATCCGTAGAAAATAATGTTAGATAAAAGTATGACTTAGTCAACAGAGGATGATTTTCAGGAACTATTTTCTGATAAATTTCCGAAGCTGTTTGACAGCAAACCAATGTTGAGGTTATGTTCTCTTTTACGAGAAGAATAGTAGCTATGCCCAGGCATATCTTGGCAAACTGATGAGATAACATGCATACCACTTTATTCGTTAGACTTTTGGTGGATTGTTTATAGAACTTAAGAGTAAGTTCGTAATTATTGAGCTGATAATACGTACTTCCAACATTTCTGTAGTAAAGTCGTAATGAGCTTCGTCATTTACAGTCGTTGGTACTAGACGTATTTGGATTTCTAGTGCCTTCTTTAGCATAGCTAAAATGGTTTCAAGTTCACCTTTTTGTATTATAAACCATGCGTAAGTATGTATACATCATGGCTTTTCTTGATTGTCTTTAGAAAACAAATCAAGCATTGAATTAATATATCGTTCAGCTTTGTCATACCAATTCATTTTGCATAAAAAACGATTGAAATGAAGAATATTAGGATGATCATCAATATCACAGTTATAATATTCAATTACGTCCTTCATTTCTACATTATAATCGTCGGCTAATGTCAATTTAATATGTCAGTAGTAAGTGAGAGAAATATCTTCATCAGAGAAAATAGCAGCTATGTTTTCATTATTTGTAGTTGATAGAAATATATTCATTGAAATTAGGTTTTTCAATATTCTGTCTAAATTTATTTATTTCATGCACACGTATTTGTTGTCCTCGATAGATCAATTTTAATGCTGAGAAGCTGTCGTGTAACTATCTTAACTGTAAATGTAGATCTTTAATATACAATCGAAACAAAAATAACGCATCAATATCGTTTATGTCTCATCGAATTTCCTAATTTTTTCTAATTCTATATTATCATCTGCATAGTCTTTACGGCACATCTGTAAAAGATTGACTTTACTGATTTCATCATTGTTCTGCAGACGTAGAACAATACGTATAATGAATTGATATCACATCAAATTGTCATATTCTGTAGACAGATTTTTGGTTGATTTTTCTTTGAACGCTCATGATATTAAGTTGTTCTGAGCGATTCTAATATCTTTCGATAAATATCCAAGTAAATCATCTGATTTCGAGAATATGTTGTGAAATTTATTGTCTTTTAAATTTAAAGACAATAGTTCTTTTGATGTATCGAATAGATAAACACTTGCCATTGATGTTAGAGATATTCCATTTGAAAGAAAAGTTCATCATTAGTAATATTCGCAGATATAATCACAAATACATAATCTAGTTTAGAATAAAAGTAATCGATATTACCTCACTTTAATTTTATCAGTTGTTTCTTATTCTAAATTGGAATTTACCCACTGATGAAAGAGAAAGAAAAAAAAAATTTTCCTTTTCTTTATCTTCTCAACATTAGATCTGCTGTTGAAACCATATATAACTAATACTATATTCTCTTTAGATACATAAACGTTTTCATTCGATGAAGTGTTAAAAAAAAAACGAGAAGCTGTCGTCTTTCTCTTTCGCAGAAAAAAAAGGAAAAAGATGTTTCCTTTATTGAGATAAGAAACGTTGTTGTAAGAAGAAACAGAAATATATTCTCTTTTTCTTTTTAATTTACTTTCAAACAACTTTTTTGGCTCTTCTGAACGCAAGGTGAAAATGTTTTTCTCTTTTAATAACACTTCCCTACGCATTAAACATTTCATGTTAAACTCATTCAATAGAGAATTTTCTGATCTACAAAACTATCGACTTTGTTTTCCAAATAATCTTTTCTTTCTTTGTCGGCGTAAAATTTAAAAAATGAACACCTACTCAATCGTCTAACTGTAACGGTCAAAAAACGGTCAATATTTCATAAAGTTTTCGCTGAAATTTCAAATATGCTGTAAAGTTTTCCAAAAACAAAAAAACTCTGTATCTTTTGATATAAGTTTTGGGATTCTGCTGTAGAAGAAATATATGCGAGAAAAATCTTTGAGGTAGAAAAAAACGTGAAAAAGCCGAAAAATCTTTTTCTGACAGAGTTACATCATTAGTCTTTTTTAATTCCACATAACCTAATCTTTTTACCCTTCGATTTAACAAAACAGTGGTAGAGAATACAAAATTCTCTATCCATATTCGTAGAGCAAGAGATTATCTATCGAATAAGCCTAAAAATGATTTGCTTAATATGTTGAAAGGTGCTCTAAAAAGATTTCGACCCGTTTTTTTATAGGTCATCCGTTAGAGCTTGAATTGATATGAAGCAACTATCCGATCTTTTACATAAATAAGTCATAGTTTGTTCGATTTCACGCTTTTATATTATGTTTTATTTTCATTCAAACAATCTTTAATACTGAGTGGTGATAATCGTAATTTTATTTGATCATTTGAATCAATAGAACGAACGATCTGATAGTTAATTATTAGTATTATCACTAACAAAGTGATGCTGTTCTTCATTTATATAGGATGTGAATTTAAATGCCTTCCCTTCAACCATACCTGCACCCAGGAAGATTTTTTTAAATGATCGGTATTCATAAATTTTTCTTAGCATTTTCATGATATTCGTAGATGATTATGAATATCGAAGTGATATTAGCAGATATTTGTAGATACAATTTTAATCGAATGGCACTAGTTCTTGATCAAGAACATTTCATATGGATATTTAGTTATTATCTTTGGAGTAGTATTCGTAGTTGTTAATGGACAGAATTCATCATATTCTATCTACTTATATAAATCCATTGAAAGGTAAGTTAATTTTACTTTCCAGGGATTTGTGTAGTTTACTAATAACCGTGAATATTACATAAGCAAATCGAGTAACATGTGTTTTATCGATAGATGATCTTAGTATGATACATGATAATAATTATGCTTATAATTAGTCTATAGCTGAATAATTTCAACGTTTAAATATAGGTTTTTCGAAGTACATATCCAGATAAATATGGAGCAACAATATTCATATCATGCCAAAATATGGTTACCATCGTAGACTTCAGACAGAATTTTCGTGGTTTATCGTCGCTTTTATATTCCTAATAACCATACAATCATAACGACTGACTTATCTATTCTCAGCTTTGATTTTGTCTAAGATAAAAGACTTTTCTTTGGGATTGTCTTGAATGATAATGTAAAAAGTAGAGGAAAAAGTTCCACATAATTGTTTGCAGGATTTGACAATGATCAATTATATTCATTCGTCAGCTTGAAGAAGACATGACCTAGTAATGGCGTAATTGGAAAAACTTATCTGGTGAGAGGAAAGTTAGTTTGATGCAGAGTTCTTGTGCTCAATTGCTTGAGTTTCTCATACACACTAATCAATCTCATACTAGTCACAAGAGCATGTGTATGTTACAACGTAGTCGGTATAATATCAGACGGATGGTCCGAAACAAACAGCTGTTAGTGACTTGCCCAGGGTCATTGTATGACTGATGGTACCAAGGTTTGAACCAGAGATGGACAAAATCGCACCGCGCTTCCTCGCACCGCTGCTCACGCCTACGCTACACTAGTCTGAGCTTCGATGAGCACATGCTTAGAGCATCCCGGTATTCTGTGGAGTTTGAGAAACTGATTGGTAGAGCACAGAGAAAGAGAGATGTGGGTAGCGCCTAGGCGCGAGCAGCGGCGCGGGGAGGCGCGGTGCGATTTTGTCCATCTCTGGTTTGAACACCGCACGTTGTAGATACGTGTCAGACTATGTCATCACTCAGTCATTACGATTATTTTATAAGATGATTTCAAATGTTAATAATAATTCCCATAGATGTCTCTAGAAACAGAATTTTTATGTAATTGCATGTATTATAGCAGAAATGGTTAAATGGCGTCTAACAACCAATAGATCTCGTTTCTGACGATAATAATAAAAAGAGAAAAGTATAACATGATGGGATCACACTTGTGATTCTTGTCATCATTTGTTGACTTATTATTTATTTATTTATTTTCTTCTTTTTTTAATTAAAAAAAATGCCATTTTCATTATCAAGTGAAGGACGTTCATTTAGTAATCTATTTAATTCCAATGAACAAAGTAAGAAATAAAAATTTAATTTAATTTTTTTTTTTGTTTCTTTTATTATTATTATTAATTTTTAATTATCAAAAAATATTTAGATTCAGATCATTTAATAATTGAAAGACAAAATTTATTATGTGTATTTAAATTAGTTGTAAAAGATTTATTAAGTTCAGGTTTAAAACATGAACGTCTTATGGAAAAAGAATATTTTCCTTTAAAACATTTTTTTATTGTTTTTGAACATATACTTTTACATGGTTATAATGGTAAAAAAAATTTTCCAATAAGTACATCATCAAATCGTAAAGATTTATGGCCAATTATTGATCTTATATCACGTAAATCAACTGATATATATATATCAGAAATATCAATATCATCAAAAGAAATGACAAATATTCGTACATCATTAGGTCGTGTACGTGCATGGTTACGTCTTGCATTAATGCAAAAACGTTTAGCTGATTATTTTAAAACACTTGTTGAACAAAAACATGAATTAAAAGATTTATATGATAATGAAGCATTATTATTATCTGATGAAAGTATTATTATACCTGGTTTACTTGTTGGTCTTAATGTATTAGATTTAAATTTATGTTTAAGAGAAACAACACTTGATCATCCTATTGAATCAGTAATACATTATAGTTTATATTTACAAGAAAGACGTCTAACAACAGTATCATTAAAAAATACACATCCACCTGGTGCAATAAAAGATCCAATTGATGAATTGGATGATGATGATGATGATAATTCAACAATATCATCATTACCTATAACAAAAACAAATCTACAAAATAATGATACAGTTGTTACAAAGGGTACGGATAGTACAGAAACGTTAGATGAAAACACTTCAGATATGTCATATAATCGACGTCTTTCGTGTATACTTGATCAAAAAAATTATATTGAAGAACTTAATCGAAATTTACAGTAAGTAATGAAATATTTCAATTATAATTAAATACATTTTTTTTTTGTCTAAAAAAATAGGAAAACAGTAATAAATTTACAAAGCAAATTACAAACATTTGAAGAAACAAATAAAAATTTGGCAGAAAATACAGTACAACAAAAAACTCGTATTGAACAATTAGAAGAAGATCTAACAAAAATAATATCAGAAAAAGAACAAATACAATTATCGTATCAACGAAAAACTGACGTAAGAAAAAATTTCTACAGACTTCCGAAAGATTCAACTAATCATTTAACGTATAGCTACTTCCATTCTTTTACCGAAAACAAATTACTAGATGAGTATATTGAGTGAATAGAAAACAAAATATTCTTGTCCTATTGATATCTATTAAGAGAACATCCATAAGGAGACTGAAACACTGATCAAAATTTTTAGCTCATTACAATATTTTATAATAAAGTTAACCTTATAAATGTCGACTAGTATTATACTTCCACAAGTGAGAGAATTTTTCATATAATATATCAAAGGATAAATTATTAACAGTTGAAGAAAATGAACTATTTAAAATATTGTATATTATTTATTTACTGAGCCAACATAAATCGAAAAGATCACAATTTAGCAGTCTATGATATCCGTTTTGTTGATTGCTATTTTTCAAAATCGAACGATATCAAATTGAATTTTTGATATGTTATGTAACTTTTAATTCTCTACTAAGTAATAAAAAAAATATTGAAATAGCAGGTTTACTCTCGAGGCAATATGAGACTTACACTATCCATAGAGAGGAAAACAGCCTTAAGAAAAACGATGTCGGGCACTTTTCAATATCGTTCATTCATGACTATTTTCATTTTAAAAGAAAAAAAAATTTCAACCACCTACATACCTGAGGGAAATCATGAGAATTCGTAAAAATTCTCGTGGTCCCTCTCAGGGATGTAGAGGAGGGTCGATCTTTTTTTTCCTTCGTCGAAAAGAAAATAGCCATGAATGAACGTCATTGAAAAGTATCTCGACGTCTTTTTTTATTACTTTTGTAGAGAATCAAAAATTACATAACATATCAAAAACTCACGATGGAAGGCCACCAACTGTTCAATTACTTTTGAGTCGAAACTATGTGCATCATGTAAGTCCTAATGAGAGTTCGGACCGCTAGTGTATTACTGTCAAGATACTGCATTTTTAAGCACAATGCCATGATTCCCCTCAGGAACCAGATTTCGACTTGAAACTTGGCATAGAAACAGATCTCAGTGAGAGTACTTTATTGTGAAAGTTTCAGATCGTTTCGTTGTTCCCGTTCTGAAATAAAAACATTGGAACCTGTCGGTGAAAAACGTGCTGTTTAGTTGCATCTTAGGATAGGAACAATCAAAGGATTTGAAACTTCAACAATAAACTACTCTCATTGAAGCCTGTTTCTGTGCAAAGTTTCAAGTCGAAATTCAGTTTTCCTGGTTCCTGATGGGATTATAGCATTATGCTTAATTAAGAATACCGTAAAAATGCAGTATCTGGACAGCAATAAGCTAGCAGTCCGAACTATTTTCAGGATATTCATAGCTCATTAGGGTCTACAAGATGCACCAAAATCGATTGAACAGTTAGTAGCCTTCCTTCGTCGTCTTGATATTGTTTGAGTACGAAAAATAGCAGTAGACATGAGATAATTCATCATTTCTTTCTAGATAGTGCTAAAAAATCGATCATGATTTACTTTTGCTATAAAAAATCAAAAGTTTAAATTTAGACCGATGAAACATCTCTTAATTACTTCTGACGATTTCATATAGTAATTATTAAATGAATATTCTTTCGATAATTTTATAGCATTTATTTTTCTCACTAGATAATATAAATAGTTTATGATATTTTTTTTTTCTTCACTTAGGCTTTAATTGCTGATATTGCAGTTGAACGAGAAACGTATCAAAAATCTCGAACTGGATTTGATTTAATGTATAATGAATTAAAAAAGAAATATGATGATGAATGTGTATCAAAACAAGTAAATAGAAAAGAAAATTATGTTTTCTTTTTTTTATTATAAAATAAATTTATTTTTTCTTTTTCATATGAAAATATTAGAAAATTGAAGGTATATATCAAACTCAATTATCTCAAACTAATGAATATGTTGAATCAACAAAATTAATGGAAAAAGATATTGAATCAAAAACATTATTATATGATCGTATAAAAGAAGAAAATGATCGTCTTAAAGAAGAATTACAAGTAAAATTTAAATAAATTTTTATTTTCAATTTGTATCTTTTTTTCTCTTCCATTAGGTTGAAAAAAGTCAAAATGATGAAAGAGAACGTCAAATACATGTAAAAGATAAAGAAAATCAAATGTTACGAGAAACAATCAGTGAATTAGAAACAAAGTACAGTTTTATAAACTATTATTCATTATTAAAATCGTATGACAAAAGCTATTCATTCGTAGGATGAGTCTTGAGAGTAGATCATCATTCAAGGAAGTTTTTCGGCACTTTTGAAGAATGGTATTTCAGGGTAGATCTTGATGAGTAGAGCGAAAGTTGACTGCAATAAATTAAGAGTGCGAACTCTTTTCCGGATATTTATGACCCATTGGAATCTACATTATGCACATGCTTCCGAGTGATTAAATCTTGAAACAAATCATAAAATTCTAGATTCAGTCTCATAACAAAGTCTAACATTCGAATTTTTACTTGATTCATAATTCTTGATCGAAAGAAAAATCTATTTCATTCCAATTATAATCGAATCGAATTCAATTTTTGAATCTTTCTAATTTTCTATATAGTATCGAACAAATCAATAAAAAAGTACATGAACTTAGTAATACAAATGATACATTAAATCGAACAATATCTAAATTAAATGCTGAAAAGTTTGTAGATCTTCTTTTCTTTTTTTATTATTTAAAATAATAAATATAACATACATAGAACATCATTAGAAACTGATTTACATGTTGAAAAAGAATTTCAACAACGTCTTCAAAAAGCATTAACAAATGAAAAAGAAAAAGTTTCTACACTTCAATTTGATATACATGAATTAAATTTATTAAAACAAGTAAACAATTTTTATTATAGAATTATTTAATTTTTTTTTTTTTTGTCTTCTAAAATTTTTAGGATTATGATTTATATAAAAAAGATATGATAAAAAAACAAAATGATTCAGAAAATAAATTTCATGAACAAGAAGAAACAATAAAAGAATTAGCTTTAAAATTAGAAGGATATATTAAACGTGAACATGAACAACGTGAAAAAAATATTTCACGAACATCAACATGGATGAAAGATGATGATGTTAAAGAATGTTGTCAATGTAAAAAAGATTTTGGTCCACTTAGACGAAAACATCATTGTCGAAAGTAAGTTTTTCTTATTAAAAAAAAACAAAAAACAATTCTAAATAATTTTTATTAATTAAAGTTGTGGTCAAATATTTTGTGAAGCTTGTGTTAGTACAAAATTAACATTAACTAGTTCAACTAAACCAGTACGTGTATGTGATGAATGTTGTAAATATGTACTTGCACAATGTGCGGTGAATAATCCATGAATGAAGAATGAAAAGAATCGTAAACAAAAATTGCAATAATGATTTTTCTTTTTGTATTTATTATTTATTCTCTATTTATATTATATATATTTTTTTTCTTTGTGTTTCGTAATTTATTTAATGACCGCTCAATTTTACTTCTAAACCAAAAAAAACAAACAAAAAGAAATGATTTTTTTCTATTGTAACTCGACAGATTTTTTTTTTTTTTAAAGATAATTTTAGTCAATGTTATTTTGTAATACTAATATTTTTTTCAGATATAATTAACAAGCAAGAAAAAAAACCAACAAACTTTGATGTTTTGAATATGTATTCTTAATTTTTGGTTCAATGATTATGTTCAATTAGATTTAATAGAAGAATCCAATGAATGGTGATGATTTACTTCTTCAAAAGACTTGGATAAACAAGTAAAATTTTCTTCGTAATAGTAATTGGCATAAAGAATTCAAAGGAAACTTTGTTTCCAAGAAAGATTTAAAGAAAATACAAATTATTTTTGATTACATAGAGTGATAGAGGAACTAGTTCGTTAGGAGATAAGATTTTTTTTTTGTCTTACTGAACTACATTAACTTTAATTCTTTCCAGCCGGATGTTACTATTGAGCCAATATTTTGACAAGAATTGACTTGTAGTGATGACATATAATGTTGTAACCATTCAATAATTACTATAACATATATTCACGATTTAGAAGACAAAAAAAAACTTTTCACTGAGAAGATGGCTAGACCTATTCGCAATGCCTCAAAAGAGCATCTAAATCGTAAACTCAATACCGGGGGCAACTGGTAGTTAATTTTCCTTGGTAGTTCTGTTATAAATTGTATCACTAAGATGAGTCATTCAGTGTTTCCGGACAATCAAAAAATAGAGATGTTGCCAAATGGCAACATTCGATCGGAAAGAATCAAATTCATTTTTTTTTCATCTATCAAAGCGTAAATTTTTGTGGTTTTTTTTTCATCTATACGTCTATAATGAACCGTAGTTTGTTTGTTTGTTGCAGCTCGAAGGTCAAATTGTTGCCAAATGGCATCATAATATCATCAGGTACAGAATCACTTTTTTTTGTTCCAAAAAATAGACTTTTGTTATCTGTCTTCTGGCAACCGACCAAAAAGGATTAATAAAAGTTCAAAAGTACTTCTTGTCCAATTTTTCCATAGGAAATAATGAAAAGACCACTTTTAAGCTTTTCTTAGAATTGATGCAGATCAAGTAAAAAAAAAGTCGTGAAGACATCTTATTTTTCTAGAGAATTAATTGCTCTATCACCCAACATAATTAAAAGAAACTTTTATTTTGTTATTCTAACTGCTGAAAAACTTAATAGAAACATATTGGATTCTTTATCTTAGCTATCATTATGGAAAAAACTCGATATTAAATCTGTATGATAATTTTTACTAATATTTATCATTCTAATTTTTGTATATTTTCATGCGAAAAAAATTAAATGAGTTATTAATCATTCAATAAGATGGTAAGAGAAAAATGTCAGTTGGTCGCAACGACTATTAGTCGCATATTTGATTGAATTGTAATTCAATAAGACACAGTACCACATGAGAATGAGAATGGCGTATGAAAAATGAAGATTTACTCTATGGAATGAATTCTTAAATGATCCCGCTGATAAACAATAATTGAATATTGACATTCACATTTTCAACTTATCGAAATGTTACGAAAAGACAAAATGTATATTCATTATCGCATAGTAAAAATCACAGCAGACAAAAACTCCGAAATAAAGAAAACCTATATATCTCTCTATATTATTTTTTTTTTCAGCACTACATTGTGACTAATTGTCATAGACCTATCAATTAAAAATAAAACAATTAATTTATATGATGATAATATTGAATAATTTGATAATCAAAAAAAATAGTTTCATCATGTTATTTTGTAGATAATTATTTTTAATTGAAAAACAAAAAAGAAAAAATATGCCAACTTCAAGAGATGATCTTCCTGATTTTCGTGAAACATTTAGTTTATTTGATGATCGTGGTGATGATAAAATTCCAAAACAACTATTCGGTGAAGTTGTTCGAGCACTTGGATTAAATCCAACTGAAGCACAAATCAAAGGTGCAATACAAAATTTAAAAACTGATCGAATATCATTGGAAGAATTTTTACCTTTATATGATTCATTGGCAAAAAAAAAAGATAATACTATGACAGAAGAAGAACTTATTGAAGGTAATGAATTAAAATAAACTATCGTATAGAAATTAATCATAATTATACTTATTATCTCAGATAGTTTAGGACATGATATTTCGTCTAAAATTACTGTTTATCACATCTAAACACCATTTCAAAACAGAAAATAGCAAGAAATTGCTTCCCTCATAAATGACATTGAAATGTTATTATATGTATATAATCATCACATACATCTAATAATGCTTTGAGACCTTTTCCTGAATTAGCTGAGAAGCATAAATACTTGTCACAATTTACTGAAGAAATCTTGCCGTGAAGAGAAAGAAAAAAGAAACTAAAACTCTAATCACATTATCCAACTTTTTGCAAACGAACATTACTATCAGTAGAAATAGAAGAAAAATCGCTTTTGATTAGTGGGTGCGGTTGTAGGATTCTCCACTCCCTCATACACACATCCGGAGTGAAGGGGCTGGCAGCACCGACTCAAAGCAACAAATCTTACCAACTCGAGTCCAAACTTTTATATAGTGATCAATGAAATAAAGAAAGATTGTGATAATTCAATTGAAGACAAGAAGTTTAGTGATAGGATTCGAATTTGAACTTCATTTAATATGTGTATATATTTAATGCTTTTTTTCGGGTCATTCGAAACAATATTTTATGCAGATTTTCTCTTCCGAAAGGGCACCGTCCCCACATTGGATAAAATACTAATTCCGATACACTTTCAGAAAATTATTCGATAGCGAATTTTTCATTCTACAAGACAGTTTCGATTGTTTTTCAAATTATTAAAGCAATATTTGAAATATAAATGCTTACTCAATCGTCTAATTACGATTGAAGATCAATCTACGAAAAATCTTGAAACGAAAATTTACCAATATTTTTTTTTTCTCCAAAGCGAGACTTCGTTTATTAAATAATCATTCTCATGCTGTTGGATATAGAATTTAATTCCGTTGTGACTACTAAGTTGAAGAATACAAATGATTAGATTCTATTGAAATAAAAAAGAAAAAACAAACGACCATGTAATTCTATCAGGCAAGGTTTTTTTTCCAAATTTTTACTCGATAATTATTCTTGCAAATATTTCTACTGGATATATCAATATATGCAGAATTTAATGATATGCTTGCCATTTTAGAACTTGCGAAAAAATAAAGGCAACAGCTTGGTAGAGCAAAAGAGTCTCTATCGAATGACTTTCTGAAAGTGTATCGAAATGCGTAAATTTAATGTGCGCCATCCGTTAAATGAGCTTCAAGTATTCAAACTGATATAAGTATTGACTGACATTATCTGTATTTATTAAATGGTAAACATAAACATAAGAACTGTGATATCAACTAGCTATTCTGTTAACAGATTTTACATAAATTGATAGCATGATAGAGTTAATTCGTTTCCATGTGAATGTGTACAAAAATATCTTACACAGGATTATTATAAAATTTTTAAATAATGACGAATAATTTTCCAACATTTGATGATGTACAAATTTCTCTTCATTCATTCTATGCGAACTATATGATTCATACTCCACGTGATCAATTAATTTATAACGTAAATAAGCTATCAAAAGGTAACAAAAAACAGAAATATATTAAATATAGAACAAGACTTACGGAATTTCATGAAACATGATTGTGTTTTTTTTTTGATAGTTTATTTCGGATTAAGTCAGTTGACATTTATAAAACTTGTCAAAATATGTAATCACGATAACTACAATTTATTTAATACATATAAAATCTGTTACATATTTTATTAAATATATATCAAAACTTTGATGATTAAATTTTATATGTTAATGTTCGTATTTGATTCGAAAAGGTAATATCAATGAATCATATATTATATAAAATTCGCTTGAATATTTCAAGCGTATATTTAGACATAGTTGCGTAAATCATTGACATGTAGTCGACCTTTAATCATACTTCGAAACTTATGAAACATCGTTGATACGTCACGCTCCAAATAAACGAAATAAAAAGAAAATATTGATGTTTATCATTAAATAAAACATTCATATTTTTTTAAAAAATCAACCATCTGTTGATGTAATAAGTTGTTAATAAATTATCTACACTCAAAAAAAAAGCCAATCTAAGCTAGAAATCAATTGTTTTTTTCGTCCCGATCTTGTTAACATCTCGGTCTCAATAATTTCCCTTTCTCGTAATCTCTAATTTAGGTTCATGAGACTTTCAACACACAATTATGTAGAATATGATTTTTGTTTATAGGTTTAAAAGTATTTGATAAAGAACAGAATGGTAGTATTTCATCAGCTGAACTTCGACATTTATTAACAAATCTTGGTGAACGTTTATCAGATGAAGAAGTTGAACAATTACTATCTGGTTTTGAAGATAAAAATGGTCTTATTAATTATGAAGATTGGATTCGAAAATTACTTCGTAATTAAAACAATCAAACAGAAGAAAAAAAACATTCCGTTCGCTTCAAATTTTTCTTTCTTTGCTAATGATCAGTGCATATTTTCTTTTGGTTTTTCTTTTTTTGAATTGATCTGCTTCACTCATTCCGTTTTTTTATTATTACTTTACTAATCTCAATTTTAGATGATATAATTTTATTTTTATATTCAATGAATCTTATCTTGAATAACAATAATAATGAGAGTGGTGGTCCTATATATCCTATATTACCACTTCCAATATGTGTACGATTTCGGACGGAAAAAATTTTTTCATCAAAGTAAGTTTTTCTTTTTTTTTTTTTTAATGTATTGTTGTTGTTGTTGTTGTTACACCATTTAATTTTTCCATTTCATCATCATCATCATCGTTATTAATCATGGAAAGATTTCCATATTCTGCAAAATCTATTGTTTGATATTGTCGTTTACTTATATAATAAGCTGGAATAGATAACATAAGTAATGTAAAAAATGTAATAGCCATATTAAGAGCAAAATAATAAGCAATTAACATTGTTGTACGATGTGCATCAGGATCTTTACTTTGTTCATAATGTTCATGAAATGGACTATATAAAATAAATCCTATTGCATAAAACCATGCACCTTGCATAACAGTAAAATATGCACGCATTAAAGTTGTGTGAACTTGTTTTTCTTTTTGAATTATTTCAAAAACTGCACATATAACTGTAGCAAATATAGATAAAACAAGAAAAACATGTAGTAAAACTTCGACTTCTTCACGAGCATGACCATGAAAATAAAAGAGAAGACCTTCAGCTGTAAATGCTAAACAACCAGCAACTCCATCAAAATTTTTTGGTAATGGAAAATTATAATGAGCTAATAATGAAATTAATCCAACTATAAAAAACATAAAATACATAGCAAAATGTTGAAGATTATTTGCTCCTTCATTAAATGATACAGAACCCGTTTTTGGATCAATAACACGATTAAATCCAGCAATTAATTCAATAAGGATACCTAATGTTGTACCAAATAAAACAAAAAATGATTCAATAGGTAACCTAGCAACTCGTGGTCCACAACAATGACATGGAAACGATACTGTTACATAGTATGGCCGTCGACGTTGACGACATATAAAATAACGTAACCATGCTGAATACATCCACCATAGACCGAGTATAAGAAATATTGTGCCAGGAACTACATGTCCCGGAAGACTTCCCATGTTTTTTCTAGAAGAAAAAATATAAAATGAATACGATTTTTTTTTGCTTTTTACATTGTTGCGAAAGACATAAACTTAAAAAAAAAAATACACTAATGAAATGTCGTTCTCTCATTACCGTTCAAGACCTACTCGTACAGTGTAAATATTACTCGTATGAGAACAGAAAAAAAAAATTTTTAACTACAGCACACAACACACTGTTATATATAATAGCGACCAATGCAATAGCAATCTTGTTTTTTTTTTTTTCTTATTCGCTCGTTTTTTTTGTCACGCCCGTTCGATATGTGCAACTAAAAGGTGATAGCATTAGGCAAAAAAAGAAAAAAAAACACTATGTAATCATGAATAAATATTTACAAAAACAAGAAAAAAAAAAGACAATGAATTTTTCTTTCTGTATCTTAGAGTACGCTATTTTGATTTAATAATTCTTATACCCAATTTAATATTTCTTCTATTTCTTATTATTAAATGGTATCATACACGAACAAAATTAAATTTTAATAAACCATTATTATTTACTGTTAGTTGTTTAATTTTTATTGTTTCATTTGTTAATATAATACGATGTTTATATTCAATGATTTTTGCCGAACAAACATCATATGCCATAGGAATTATTTTAAAAGTAATGAAATAAATAAATAAAATGATAATTTTTTCTTTTGAATATTACTTTTTTGTTTAGATTCTTTGGTTACTTGTTCGATTTACACTTTTATGTACAGAATTAAGTCTTCTAGTTTTTGGAATTTATTTCGGTAGAAAAATAGAATTTAATATAAATTTATTTATTTATTTATTTATTTATTTATTCAGGTCGTTCAAATCCAAATCGACCTTGGATAAAAACAATAAAAATATTAATTATTTCATCGATTTGTTCTTTAATTTATACAATAACACAAGTACAAGACTTGAGATTTTTTTTTTTTTTTGTAAATTTAAAACTATTTATTATAGGGTGTACTTGAATTTCGTGGTGATACACGTCCAAGTAGTTTTCAACTAACAAATTATAATCTTTATTCATATGGTGGAATGAAATTTCTTCTTATATCAAGTTCAATTTTTCTTCTTGTAAGTTGAAATTTATTATCTAAATATTGTTTTTTTTTTATTTTATTTCTTCGATTATTCATTATTAAATAGATGTACATTATTATTTTTTTTCTACCTATTCTATGTCGTCAACATCGTAAATTTTTACCAAGTATGATTGAATATTAATGACTTATATTATTATCATTAATGATCATCATTCTATTTTAGTTCGTCGATCATTTTATATTTATTGTTTTATAATGGCAATTATAAATGGTATTCAAATAATTGGAACAATATTAAATTTAACTGAAACTACGAAATTTGCCATGTGGTAAGTTTATTGTATATTGAAAATATAAGATTGTTTCGAGAAACACGTAAAATAATGTACAATTTTCAATATTTTTCATGTTTTAAAGACAATTTTTTTGGGTATTCATGTCTCGAATTGATCCATATCATTTGCAATGATATTTTGTCTATATGTTGGAAACATTATTCTAAGAGAGTTTGAACTTACTCATTTTTTCATCTAGCACAATGTATGCATGAAAAAATTGAAAAATGAAATTTTGCTCATATGTGCTGTCTGTTAAAAAAAGAACTGGCCGCGGGTATTTTTGCAATAACTCGATAACGGCAGTGGCTTTCACCAACTGAAAAGCATGAAAATGACTTTCCATCTAGATGAAATTTTGATTTAGATAGAGGAATCTGAGATCTATAGTTCAAGATACAATGCAAATGGAATCATGTATTTACATGCGCAAATAATAGAAAATTTTGTTGATTTTTTTGACTAAGTTTTCGTACTTTTCTTATAATAGCGTAGAATTTCAATAAAAATGTAATGAAAAGTATAAAAAAAACAAGCGCATTATATCTTGAACTATAGATCTCAAGTCTCTCTATCTAAATCAAATGTTTTTCGAAGATGATTACTTTTAAAAAGATTTTGTCTTATACATTATCGGAGAAAAACATGTCCCAACTTCTACTCTTTCAGTTGGCGAAAGTCGCAGGTCGCTAGCTGTTAAGTTATTGCAAAAATACTCATGGCCAGTTTTTTTTTAACAGACAGTATACAGGGTGACCCAAAAATCATGTTACCGAGAAAAAGTTGAGTATCTCCATTATGACTTGACCAAACAGGCTCATTCTTTTACCAAGGATAGAGGCATGTTCACACTCAAAATCCATACGGATAAGATTAGTGAGAACCTTTGTTATGTGTATTATTTTCTTTTCCTATTTGTGAAAAAGTAAAATTTTCTTGTTGAGGTCAATAGTGATACTTGACAAAAGTTCTCACTAACCTTATCCGTATAGATTTCGAGTGTGAACATGCCTCTATCCTTGGTAAAAAAATGAGTCGGGTTTGTCAAACCGTAATGGAGATACTTAATTTTTTTTCTCGGTAACATGACTTTTGGGCCATCCTGTATATGAGCAAAATTTCAGATTGAAATTTCGTTGTCCAATCTTTCTGTATATATCTTGTGCTAGGTGAAAAAATGGTCATTACCTTCGAAGTAAGTCCAAATTCTCTTAGCCTAATGTCTCCCAACGTATCAGCGTTGGAACCGGACCAATTTAGAAAGTCAACCGGACCGGTAAATACCGGAAATTTACTAGTTTAAGTTTAAAAAATATTATCTTTACTCAGCTCTTATTCGGTAAGAAGAACTATGTATTTTACTATGAAGTAGAACAAATTCTCCATCATTATACATATATGCCCAGAAAGTCTTTCGATAGTGCCAATATTAAAAATTTTGTTCAGTTTATAATCGATATTTATCATGATGATTGTAATACTATGATAGACAGGAAGACAATTAGGCATATGTTTTATCAGTTTTGAAATACACCAGATAGTACTATATAAATCAGTTCGAAAAATCTTAATATCCCTGTGAAAAAATGATGATGCTTCATGATTATAAAGATTATGCATATCTTTTCTAAAAGTTTCATAAAAAGTCAAATAATATTTTCTCAAGTACGAATATTGAAATTTTCTAAGATATGCTTATAAAAAAAACTATTCCTAGGTCGACTTCAGTTTTCTGTACTTACGATACGAGGAGTTAAATCATATTGGTTTCAACCGTATTATTTAAATATTAGATAATTCAATTTACAACTAGATATAACTTTATCAATTTCTACCGTACTTTCGGATGTTTGGAACCATTTTAAAGCAGTAAGCTTGACCAGTTTGCCGGAATTTCACCGGTTCCAACCCTGCAACGTATGGCCAAAATGGTATGGATCAGGTCAAGACCTTCTCTCATCAGTAGATAGCAGAGATGTTCATCGCGGCAGATTTTCAGCCGCGATGTACATCTCTGGTAGATAGATATTACTTGAAACCAAAAAAAATTTTGAAGGAGATAAAGAAAAGCTTTTTATTCTAAAAATTTTTAAATAAATATTATAGTATTGTTGATGGTACAACATGTATATTTTATATTTGTTTTGCACCATTTGTTTATCATCAATTTTTACGACGAGCTTTAAGGTAGTTTTTATTTTTTTTATTTTTAAACTATATCAATATATTTCTTTTTAAGTTCACAAACTCTCATTCCACAAGTAATGTATGCAGATTCAACTATCATTGATGATGATGATGATGACGATCATCTAATTGATTCTGAAATGAATTTAAATCGTCCTTTACTTAATTATTCACTAGATCATGATGAAAATATTTTAAATACAGGATTAATACGATCGGTGATATCCTAATATAATAAAAACATATATAATGATTATCCGTTTGTATCGTTTGTCTGTTTATTTTCATTTTATGTAAAGATCTGTTTTTTTTCTTTTTTTTTTTGTAAACAACAAATAATATATTAAGAGTTTTCTTTCTTTTTTTTTGGTCTCCTTATTGCTGATCTATGATGACATTACAATGGTGGTGCACAGCAAAATTTACGCGATCGTAATAGCCATGTCGGAAAACCATTAGTACCAATCACATCTTGAAAAAACAAAAATGAACTAACTGTTAATTCATAGAAAATTAAGGATTTTTTCTTATTCTTACCACTATCATTTCCATCTGGAAAATTAATATAATCATATACTTCTCCATTGTGAATACCATGAGGTCTTGCAGCATGTTCTGATAACTAAAAAGTTCGAATAATAGATATTTTTTTTATTTTTGAAATATTCTATAAGATTAGTTATATTTTCACAAAACAAAAAAAAATGAATATCTCTTATAAAATACATAAAACTAATGAAGCAAAAAACAAAAGTTACCCATTTGCCTCTGCTCATTAATGGTGGATATGCATGAGCAATTGTAAGACAAACAATAAGAAATAAAATAAACCGTACGAAGGAAGAGAACATGTTTGACTTGATAAAATAAAAATTGATCAGCTTTTCAGATGAAAAAAAAATGATTTAGAAGCGTGTGCAGATATGTCGATCTCTAGAATAAAAGAATAAAATCTATATATTTGTATATATATATATATATATATATATCTACAAAAAGAAAATGACGGCTTAACTTGATGGAATATAATAAGATCGAAATGAATCTCTAGACAATCGATTGTGAAAGAAAAAAAACAATGAAGAAAAATTCTCTCTTCTCTCGCTCTCTATATCTTACTTAACAAGAGCCGACGAAGATCGGACATCAAAGCCATAGGAGTTTCTTGACAAAATCGTAAGGAAAAGGTCTATCTATTTTTTTTTCCTTTATTCTCATGGTTTATTCTATTCTCATTTGTCAAACAAATCACACACACACCCTCTCTCTCTCTCTCTTTGACTATTTTCTTATGTGACCATTTCTCTTTTGTCTTCTATCTCTTCACTGCAATCGTAAAATGTTTTTCAATAAAACTACATAAACTATATTGCCTTTGTTGTAACATTAGCCTATTTAGTCTCAATGGACGATCGAATCGGCTCCGACAAACAATAGTTTAACACGGAGCCGATAAATTACCATAGAATATAACAGGTCGAAATACAAAACAAAAATAAGATTGACTAAATATTTTCTTTTTTTTCTCTTCTCTCTTTTTGTTTCCGAACAACAGAGAATTAAATACAGCCCACCCATCTCTCTCTCATTGTTTTTGTTGGGTATCATACTTCTGGTTCAAATGAATTGATTTTTTCCGATGACATTCTGCATGATTCTCTTTTTTACAATTGATAAGCGGAACTTGTTAACAAACAATGAAAGAAATTGAAAGATGATTTAGTGATTTTAATTGACATAGAAATACAAAAACAAAAGAAAACGTTCGCGAGTTTAGATATTTTTCTCAATTTCATTGTTATAATCATAAGAAAAAGAAAGCAACGTTTTAAGATTTGATTTTTATATTGAAAGAAGAGAAAAAAAACACTAATTGAATAGAAGTCATATTGTTCTTTTGTTGATTCAACATTCAAATAAGAGAATGTTAATCAACTAAGTATGTCAAAATTATCATTTCTTTTTTTCTATTTTCAGAATAAAAAATTTTATTCAGTCTTTAGAGAGACGCTCATAGGAATATAATATAATAGATAGAAAAATTCATGTATAGACTATGTTATGTAATTGAGAAATTTTAACAATAATTACTTATTATTCTTATCACTATGTCTTTCTTGTCTTACAAAAAAAAAACAAAATTACGTATTCAATGTGTACGTTCATACACTTATTTTTACGCGTGAATTTGTTATTTCATTTCAATAGAATGTATCTCGATTTTATAAGTTAACTTATCATAGTATAGAACATATGCTAAATAATTTTTTGATAATAAACAAAGTATTTTGTCTACTGAATTTTTGCAAAAAAAAAAATAACTTAGTTTTGTCAATGTGATCATCATTAGAATAATATGAAGAAAGTCGAGGATTGTCAAAAGAAAATCTTCGAGAATTATTTTTGGAAAGAAATAATTGAGGCGAGAAGGAAGGATACTATTTTTTGATGCTAAGGTTACTGTAACTTTTCAGATTTACTAGAAGATATTGAAGAAATATATTCATCATTATTTTTAATTGAACCTTGTTTCATTATTTGAGAGATAAAACACAAAAAACTCCTAATCCCTACTAAGAAATCAGACGATCCATTAAGATAGCTATATTAGAAAAGAACGCGAAATCCTTTAAAATCAATAATTTATTCACTTCATAGCATATGTTTGTTCTTATATCAGATGATGCGTATTAAATGAGATAATATTTAGGCCATTCCAATCAGTATTTTATTCAGATTTTCTCTTCCGGGGGAGGAGGTGGTTTAAAACATTGGGAGGGCAGACACCTATTTTTCTTTTTGGAACATAGACACGCGTGATAGAATAACCGCAAACTCCGGAAGAGTGTCACTTCCTTGATCCTTGAACTGAATAAAATACTAAATCCAGTACATTTGCAGAAAGTTATTCGATAGAGAATATTTGGTTCTACAAAATCTTGTTGTTTGTTTTTCGAATAAATTTTTTTTGTTGAAGCAATATTTAAAGTATAAAAACTTGTTCAATCGTTTAACTATGAATGAAGGCAAATATTTCTTCTATTATATCAAAAGATGCATAATTCGATGGTATACTACAACAGTTTTTATATAGATCAAAAAATTTTCTACCCAATGATTTTCTGAAATTGTATCTAAGAGCATTAAAAAAAAATAAATGAAGAAAATGATATTGTCTCGTTTAATCTGTGTCATCCGTTAGAAATATATCAAAACAATCCAATAAGAAATCTAAATTAATACAAAATATTAAACTGAATTAATCTAGTTCTTCTTCGTATGTAAATGTTTATTAAAATAGACAAACGTTACACCAAATACGATGTTTTCTTCTCTAAAATTTTAATATTAAGCTAGAATGTGCAAAAAGTAGCTCATCACAATGCTTATTGAATAACGACAAAGTTTTGACACAAATCAACTGACTTTTATAACATTGGACTATTCACTTGAGGATAATGATTTATTCTCTCTTAATTGATTTAGATTGTTGAGAACAGAAAAGTCGATGTGATTACATACATTTGAGTATACTCTATTCAACTTTGTAATCAAATTTCTTCAATACTATTGCTAGATTTTATAAAAAAAAATATATTAAATAAATCAATCGATTCTTCTTTTTTTTTCTTAGCCAAAATCATAGCAGTGCCATAATATATTCTTCAGATTTAAATCATATCAACGTTAACTTTACTTGAAAGTCATATTAACAGATAAAATAATTCTTTTTTCAAAAATAATCTAATTACTATCTTCTTATGGAGATATATAGTGCACAAGTTTAACTGAAAATTATTATAATCAATTAAAAAACGAAAAATTTTATAATTTTACTAAATTGAGTGATCTTCACTATTTTGATTTTTCAGTATGGAGTTTGATTGAGTAAAATCTGATTATAAAATACCTATTAAATTGTACAACTGTGAAATTTATGTTAAGAGTTTGACACATGACTGCTTGTCATAGAGATTAGTAGTATAGACAAAGAAGAACTTTTACACTAGGTCAATAAAAAGTAAACAACTATATATGAGTAAATGCGCATAACTCGAAGAGCAAGAATATAAAATTCGAATTCATTTTCGTCTATAAAATATTGAAAAAGTGAAGTTGGTACTTTCCTATTATCCCGACACCGCAGGATGAGGGTGGTCGGGATAACAGGAAAGTACTACCTTAACTATGAGTAGCTTAGAATTCGAGTATCTCAGTTTAGACACGCCATATTTTAAATTTGTTAGTTTGGTAGTGAGACCTGTAGTTTGACCCGAATATGCCCAATGTCCTTGAGTTAAAGCACAAATACACCTCCATTGTAAGGAAAAATGTTGATCCTTGACTATAGCATGGGGCCTAACAAATCGAAATCTATCTTAACTATTTTATTCAGTGGAGTTCATCCAGCTCGGCAATATCATTTTTCCAACAAAATCAGTAAGATTTGTGTGATTAATTGGAAAAAAAATAATATGTCAGAGGAAATAAAAGGATCATTATAATCAGTTTAAGACTTTAAAAAGTCTTTTTACTAGGCTTTATATATT